ACTTCTGTGAAAGACTGGAGAGGATGAGAAGACAAGCCACATACTGGGAGAAAATATTTGCAAAAGATATCTGATTGAGAACTATTATCCAAGACATGCAAAGAACTCTTTAAAATTCAGTATTAAGAAAATGAACAACCCAAGTGAAAAATAGCCCCAAACATGGACACCTCACCAAAGAAAATAAACAGATGGTGAATAGCAAATGAAAAGATGTTTAATATCATATGTCATCAGAGAAATGCAAATTAAAACAATGACATGCCATTACACGCCTATTAGGACCAAACTGTGGAAGATGGACGCCACCAAGTGCTGGTGAGGATGTAGAGCAGTGGGAACTGTCATTCATTGCAGGTGGGAATGCATAATGGTACAGCCACTTTGGAAGACAGTTTGGTAGTTTCTTACAAAACTAAACATATATTCTTACTATACAATCTAGCAAGCATGCTTCTTGATATTTGAAAATGTGTGTACACAAATGTTTATAGCAGCTTTACTTAAAACTGCCAAACTTGGAAGCAACCAAGATGTCCTTTCCTTCATTAGGTTAAAGGATAAATAAACTGCTGCATCCACACAATGGAATAATATTCAGTCTAAAAAGCAATGAGCTATCAAGCCAGGAAAAGATGTGGAAATCCGGCTGCCGTGGCTCAGTGGTTGAGCGTCGACCTATGAACCAGGAGGTCATGGTTCAATTCCTGGTCAGGGCACATGCCCGGGTTGTGGGCTCAGATCCCCAGTGGGGGGTGTGCAGAAGGCAGCTGATCAATGATTCTCTCATCATTGATGTTTCTATCTCTCTCCCTCTCCCTTCTTCTCTGAAATCAATAAATATATATATAAATTATACTTTTTTTGTCAGATCGGCAACAAATATATATTTTGGTATGCCATGAGATGAAAATGGTTAAAATTCTGCCCTATATAATTCTTAAGCTAAAGAAGAAATAAAAAGTGAAAATGTTTTGCTATTTATTAGTAATTGATCCACATTATCAAATATTATGCAGCCATTAAAAAGGGTGAGGCAGAACTGTGCGAGATACGGGCCAGCGTGCATCCTGAAATGGGAAAGCTGGCTGGGATTCCCGTGCGTACGTTCGTGCACCACCGTCACCAGTGCAGGAGGGTCTGACCGAGCAAGCACCTTTGCCCAACTCTATTGTTTTGTGCCTTGGCAGCACAAGAGACAGGATGAGTCTTCCATGTCTGTTCTCCAGAGCCATCCCTCACGTGGGGCAGTAAGAGTAAACGGCTGATCAGACTGAGGGCAGGGAACACCCAGGGGAAAGATCCTGGCTGATGCCTCGAATAGTATCCTGTCAGACACATAACTATAAAATGCATAAATAAATGTCTCAAAGTCATTACACCAAATGTTCCTTTCGGTTACTAAAAATAAAAGGAGTGGGATGTAAGGTGGGGATATGGCGGAGGAACTTCCAATTTTTACTCATTTATTTGTGTTATTTGAATTTTTGGTAGTGACCATCTTATTGGTGTATAATTAACATCCCATAAAATTTACCCATTTGAAGCGATTCAGTGATTTTTAGTAAATTTACTAAATTTAAGCCGTATACAACCGACCAAAGTGGTGACATAGAGTCAGCGTGGGAATGTTATCCGTGGGGAGCCTTCTACATTCTTGTCACAGCCCTAATCACTGGGGCTTGGGCTGTTTAAGATCGACGTCTGCCATTGAGGAGCCATCCTTATCGCGCCATCCTGTGCGGGGCACAAAGTACCTTCTCAGATGGAAGAGACACTCCCTGTCTCTTATCATTCAATTCTTGGCGGTCTCTCTGCCTAGAGAAATCAGATTGTTGGAGATTTCTATCGGTCTTCTCCTGTCACCTTCCTTGAGTGGTGGTCAGAGAGCAGAAGTGGGCTCGCTGAGCCGGGCTCCACTGTAGATATTGCCAAGTGCACAAGAGTATTAAATAGCCCAAATCGTTCCTCCCCTTCCAAGTCGTCATAGCAGCAGTTTCCAAGGAAAGGATAACCTGAGCCAAAGGTGGTTGAAAATGCATTTATTTTTTTGTCAAATGACCTTTTTCAAGCAATAAATAAAAACAGACATGTTGACTTTTCTAAAAAACAAAATCAAACAAAAAAAAAATCCCCTACACTATATACATCCTACAGATACAAGCATATCAAATGTAGAAATGACATCACTCCGGAAGGTGGGGCTATTTACACAAGTTACAAGTATTGCATTGCTTGGTGGTGAAGAAGCCTCCCCCTGGGATGACTCAAACTCTGAGGAAGGCCGGGTCGCCCCTGTGCTCCTGGGAGGTGGGAGGGGTATCTTCAAAGAGGTGAAACTCTCCATTCATCTTGACAGACAAGGAGACTTCCAAGGAAAAACATCAACATGCAGACACTATTCAGTTCCCTAACAATACTCCCCAGATCAGCTTTCAAGCATGAAATGGTAGCCCCTTCAGGTCACATGCTCCTTGAGCTCCTGAGAGAAACCACCTTGACCCTCAGCCAGGCTGGGACTGAAGTGAGACCAGGCTGAACCAGTGACAAGCCCCTGGTGGTGGCGTGGAGGGCTTTGAAACATGCTGATGCCTGGGCCCTCCTCCAGAAATCCTGGCTTAACTGGTCTGGGATAGCCTGGCAGCAGGGTTTTCCAAGCTCCCCAACTGACGTGAGTGGGCAAGGTCACCACTGCTTTAAGGTGGGCTTGGTGGCCAACAGCCCCTTCCCCTCACATCTGAATCAACCATCCCACCTCCCTCTCCACCTTCCAAGGATTTTAAAAATGGCCTGGTGGCTTCCCAACCTTGTTGAAATCCATCTGGAATCCACCTGGAATGAGCACCTGAGGACAATGGCCTCAGGAGAGGAGGACTGAAGTTGGGCGCTCCAGGCCACCTGCTCACCGGTTACTTCAGCCTGCTCCTGCTCCTTGAGGAAGCCAAGTCCATTTCCCTTGCTGCTCCCTTACTCATGTATTTGTGTTATTTGAATTTTTGGTAGTGAACATCTTATTGGTTGTATAATTGACATCCCATAAACAACACCCTTACGCCGCACCGGTTCTGAAAGGGAACTGGCAGCACTCCTTGGTCTCTACAGAAGACAGAGTCTACTGACTTCTGTAGCCAACAGCACCGCTGATCATCAGTGGAAGTGGCCATTACAGAAATGCCTCATCACCAGAAGCCACTTCATGGGAGGGATGGCGACTGAAAGCCACTGGCCATTTGGACTGACCTGTGGTGGTGTCTTCACTGGAGCTACTCCAAGTCATCCAGTGGCTTCTGATGATGAGAGAATAACCCCAAACCCCCTTTTCCAATCAAGCCAATTCTCTACTTTATTTCTGAGAGTCTGGGGACTCACGCTGTTACCAGTACACAGAAAATGGCTTTATAAATAGCAGTTGACACTGCACTAGAAGACTCGCATTGCAAGGCGGGGGAAGGCCTGAATGGGCTGGTCCCGAGCTCTGACGTTCATGGGGCTGGGATTGTCTGGGGAAGCAGAATACATAGGTTTTGGCAAATGTATACTTTCCCTCCCCCCTCGAGCAGCCCTCCTCCGGGCCTACCCACTGTTGGAATCCATAGCTTTTTCAGCTGCAGAACCCACCTGACCTCATTTATCACAAAACATGAAGGGACTTCCAGGAATCAAGGAAAAGGTGGGAACGTCCAATTGTGCTGTGTCTGAATAGTTCCACTGTCCAGGAACCCCAGCCCCACCACCCCTCACCCCTGACTATTCAGCTGCGCAGCTCCGGGGAAGGAGGGAATCTCGGGCATCACCACCCAAGGACGGGGCCTGACAAAGGCAGGACGAATAATGCCAACACGGGTTCACGTTCGAGAAGGAAATGTAAGGAACCAGGCCCTGTCTGGACCGCCAGGCTGTGAAGTGCATCCCAACACCGCCCTGACACAGGTTGGTTGTTATCTACGGGCGAGCAAGAATGTCCATTTAGATCTAGACTCTCCAAGGACTAAAAAAAAATGCTCTCACTTCTAGACAAGTTTGCAATTACCTCTAATCCGCACTCCAAAACAACACTGTTCCACAGAACTACAACGTAACACGTAGCTGTTTTCCCTCTTCCTCCCCCCAAGCCCAACCCACAGAAAGCGCCCTTCTCCCTCCAGAAGCCCTTCCTCTGTTTGGGAGGCCCCTTCACGTGGCAGTATCTCAAGACAGGACCCGGAAACGGCACCCAAATGCCCATGGTGCCCTTCACAGGAGCCCACAGCCACCTCCTAAGCAAAGTGTCTACCCCAACTCCCCTCTCACGCTTTTGCCATCCTGGACTTCAGGGAGACCTGAAACCTGGGGTCCACTCCCCTTTTTATTCAAAAGCCGGCCATTGAAGACATTCCCCTAAACCAGGAATTTAAACTTGTTGGTTGCACTTCATGCCAAGTAACCCCCGAACATGAAAATCTCCAACGTGTGTATGCAAAGGAGAAAAGGTGATATTTCCATGTACAAAAGGATTCGTTTCTGGTGTGCCTCTAGTTGGCTGGTCTCCCGGAGGGCCCAGGACAAGCTGAACTGCACCCAGCATGTCTAGAGCACCTGATAGGATATGGCATTTGTCACAGATGGTCTGCAAGTCCTCAGGCAGGTGGCTGAGAAAAATGCTCCCACCTGCCGAACTGAATTATTGAGCATCAGAGAGAAAAGGCTGTGCTGTTGTGGTTTGAAGTCATTCGGCGGCCACGTGCCCAGGAACCAGCTTGGAAAGTTGTTAGAAAGCAGTCCCTTTCTTCCTCCTCCACCGCGCCCTGCCTGCCTCAGTGCCAGTCCGGGCGGACCAGATGCGAGCCTGGCCCCGTCGGGGGGCCACGGACCTCCTGGCCGCTGTGACGTCAGCCGCCGCTATGCCGTCACATAAGCATATTCTTCAGTCACTGCGCTAGAGACGTCAGCCGCCGCTATGCCGTCACATAAGCATATTCTTCAGTCACTGCGCTAGACCCCCTGTACTTAGATTCTCGCGGAAGCTCTTAATAAATACTTTTATTTATTATGAAGCAGAATTATTCACCTGTTTGTGACTTAGAAGGGAAAACCAGGTCCTCGAAGACTCCTTTAGAGAAAAGTCCCTGTAACCTCAACCACAGAAAGGGCCAAGCACACAGAACCAGGCACTTCGGGCAACTCGTTTTCTTCTTGTCCCGCCTCCCCCCTCCCCCGCCCTTTCGTAAAACTGCGTGGGCACATTGGCCAGGACCTGTGGGTTTCCGAACTTCAAGCCTTACTGCTTAGAAAAATGAGGTAAGAGATTCCCATCCGCCAGGTCACAGGGACACACACACCACGCCCAGGTCTCCCCCGCCCGGCGGCGGCGTTATTGCTGGAAGTCGGAGGGCTCCTCTGTCGGCGGTGAATAGGTCTGCAGAGTCCTTATTGCCATTCTGGCGGCCCGGTGGCCGGCCGGCCGAGGACAGGTGACGGCAGGGGCCTGGGGGCCTGTCCCCGGCCGGTCAGTCCCGGCTGTCGCTGAAGGCCCCTGGTTCGGGGGCTCCCCGCGCGGCCCTAGCAGCTGGGGGAGGTGGTGATGGGGCTGTGCAGGTAGGGCAGGCTGCTGGGGGCCGCGTGCACGCCCACCGACACCGGGAAGCTGAAGACGAACTGCGAGGTGGGCGTGGGGGTGGCCTGGCCGCGCTCGCGCAGGGGCCCCGACGGGCTGGCGGCCTCGGCGGCGCAGGACGTGGCCAGCACCTGCGACTCGAACTGCAGCAGCTGCCCCATGAAGCTGAAGTTGGGCGAGATGATGCTGCGCCGCTGCTTGACGAACTCGAAGGCCTCCTCCAGCCTCACGCGCTTCTTCATCATCAGGTAGGCCAGGCAGATGGTGGCCGAGCGCGAGATGCCCGCCTGGCAGTGCACCAGCACGCGGCCGCGGCACTCCTTCACGGCGTCTGCGGGGAGCAGCGCGTCAGTGGCCCGCCTGCGCAGCCCCGTCCCACCCCGTCCCACCCCACACCGGCTGCCCCAAATGCCTAGGTAGGCGGCCCACCAGCAGTGGGGGTGGGAGGGAGGGAGGGAGAGGGGGCTGGACAGGTGTCAGAGGATGGGCACTCCCACGGAAGGGGGGCAGGGAGGATACCTCCATGGAGGGGCTGTCGAATCCCCACCATTCTAAGCTGTTTTTGAGACAACCTAACCCATGCATTGAGTTTGGAAAAAAATGCTAAACCCCAATACATTCAAGGATTTCCTCTTGCAGAAATAAAAATAATGACTCAATTCTCCCTTTCTTTGTCCTCCTCCCCATCCCAGGAGCCTTATCATCAATATAACCTGGAGACATGGAAGCTTACAGCATGGACTAGGATCAGGTTTCCCATCCCTGCCCAACACACCGTCCATGCAACCAGCAGGCCTTCCTATGGGGTGGGCAGGCCTTCCTATGGAAGCGGAGGGGGCGGGGAGAGTACACCCTGGGAACCACCACCCCATTCTCCTTCCCCAACACGAGTTACATATGGTCCCTAACACCCTGCCCACCCGGCCTTGGACCCGGTCCCCACCAGGGCCAGCCTACCCACCGATGTACTCGATGGCTTCCATGAACCAGGAGCTGATGTCGGCCTTGTGGTTGTCCTCCACGGGGATGCACTTGTACTGATAGTGTCCTTCGAAGTGGTTCGGGCAGTCAGAGGAGACGTTCAACAGGGCCGTGATCCCCAGCGCGTCCAGCATGTCCCTCCGGGCAGCATGATAGGCACTGCCGAGGTAGAGGAAGGGGAGGATCTCCACCGGACCCCCCTGCACCAGAGAGGGAAAACAGGCCCCCAACATCATGAGTGCAAAGCCGGCAGGAAGAGGGCTGGGGTGCTTGGGACAGGGAGAGGGGCTTTCACCGCCCTGGGGAGAATGCCTGGACACAGCCCGTCTAGGCTTCCCCTCATCCTGAGGAGGCTCCTGAAGGGAGCGGTGGCCCAGGGGGACTCCTCTCGCCTTTACGTTGCCCTCTGCAGAGAAGCCAGGACAGGAAAGCCTTGTTCAAGCAGCTCCCCCTGATAGAGGGAGACAGACACGGTGCTACTTGTCCACCATTTGTGACTTTAAGAGCTTACACCTGCCCATCACCAAGCTATCTGTCGGGTGGTTTAGGGACTTCTTAGGTTGGATACTTCTTCACTTGTTATGTCAAAAATAGATGGCATGCCGGCCTCACAGACAAAAGGAGGGATCTTGGCAAAATTAGGTAACTTGGCTTAAATGCAGGACAGTTTCCTGAGCAATCTGAGATTTGGGGAGCAGAGTTGCTGGGCTCCATAAGTGCACCCCTCTCCATCTATATGAAAAGGGCTGGAAGGGGTGGGCTTGTAAGAAAGGGAATGGCTTACGCCGGTTCTCTTGGGGGAGAGCTGGCTGGCCATTTATGTCATTTATAAGTGGGGGCAGCCTGAGTGTTCTGGACGGGGTGGGGTCCACAGGCCACTCCTTCAAAGAAGGGTGTCTGCTCAGCTTCCTGCAGGGCAGGTCACACGTCCAGCCTCAGCAGCCTCCTCGTTTGTCTGCACGTAACTCTAGACTACAGCCTAATCAGGGAGGTAATGTCTTTTTACATGTTGTTGCTAATCCTAACCCGAGGATATTTTTCCATTGATTTTTAGAGATTGGAAAGGAGACAGAGAGAAACATCGATGTGGGAGACACATCAATTGGTTGCCTCCTGCACACACCCCGACCAGGGCTGGGGAACCTGCAACCAAAATACATGCCCTTGACCTAAATCGAACCCAGGACCCTTCAGTCAGCGGGTCGACGCTCTATCCACTGAGCTAAACCGGCTAGGGCAGGAGGTATGTCTTTCTATTTTTTTCTTAAGTTAGGGGAGTAAGAGGGGGAAGAGGAAGAATTCCAAGGAATAACCTATTCCTAACCTACCTTACAACCCATCCCAATATCCAAAGCCTCTGAAAGCAGAACTCTGAAAAGAAGCCCCCACACACCTGGTCGTGCAGTGGGGTTCCACAGGAGCTGCAGCCCAGGTCCAAGGACTCTGCCGTGCTGGGGGGCACTGCGGGCGGGATGGCTGCCAGGGCCTTGGTTTTGGAACAGAATTCTGGATACTCGGAGGAAAACCTCTCATAGCCACCTGTGAGGAGAAAGAAGTTCAGGTTAATGGGGTCGCTAAGCCAGCCAGGAACCACAAAGAACTTGAATCCTATCCCTGCACTGAGTGAGGAGAGCTGTCTCTGCATTTACCACTGGGTGGCGCTGTGGGCCCAGAGATAGTGGCTACGGAGCCTTTTCCAGAGATGCTGAGTCCACGTTCAGGGATACAGACACACAGAGGAAGATGTGCAGGGGGCATGCAGAAGGGCCTCTTTCCAGAGGAGCCCCTTAGGGTGAGGACAGGCCAAGGCTGCTGTGGGTGTCCATAAGCACAAGAAACCTGCAAAGATGTCTGTCTTTCCCCGATTTAGCCCTTCCTTTGGAGAGCTTCAGTGGGGGGCGAAGGAAAATGTTACTCTGGCACGAGCCCGTCTGGATCTCGGCAACAAAGCCGATGCCAGTCGACCAGCCTTGCGAACAGCTGTTCCGTCGACAAGGGGCCAGAACGAGAGGAAATGGGCTTCAATCTAAATAAACCCCTCTTGCTGCACACACAGGTTTGGGGCAAAGGAGGATTTCCTGACCTGAGAGTTGCTAAGCCCCGGATGGTTATCTGTGAGATCACCTTCCGGGGAAGGGAGATCTTTTCAATGAAAAGAGCTAAACATGTGGGATGGTGTCCGTGCCAAGCAGAAAGGCCTGGCTGGGCAGAGGCAGGCAGGAAACCACTCCGAGACGAGAAACGCTCAGCCTCCACTCAGACCCTGTGACTTCTGGACGTGGCGCTGCAGTGACTTGCCAACTACTGTCAGTGTTTGGCCCTGCTTGTGTTTCCACTTTGCAGGTTCTGTAGGACCAAAGATGGATTATAAATTAATCCAATAGATGAAGGGGGATCAAAACTTTCAGTTGTAAGATAAATGAGTCCTGGGATGTAATGTACCGCTTAGTGACTATAGCTTTTAATATTGTATTGCATATTTGGAAGTCGCTAAGAGACTAGATCTTAAAGTTCTCATCACAAGAAAAAAAAATTTAAACCCTAGACAGTGACAGATGTTAAGCAGACTTATTGTGGTGATCATTTAGCAATATAGTCAACATCGAATCATTATGTTTTACACCTGAAACTAATGTTACATGTCAATTATATCTAATTTTTTAAACCATACATTTACTTAGAAATAATTCAGTAGAGCCTGCCTGTTGTGGAACAACTATTCTAATGGACCCCTTGAACTGATGGTCACGTGTGTAGCTAGTACCTTTAAATCCTGGTGACTCAGTGACCTGGAGCCACTGTTCCCTGTAACATTCATCGTAACCTTCCAATATGCTGACATGTGATGGTTAGTCAATTTCTTGCCCAGAATTCCAGCCCTAGAAGCTGCTTCAGAAAGGAAGGGACATGATTCTTTGCCACATCATAAGGCTTACAGAAACAGGGCACGCACTTCTTCCTCCCTGACCGGAGGCTCTGTTCCCCTCCACTGCCTCCCTCCCCCACCGGGAAAATAAATGGCTATCTCTCCAGTCACAGGCACCTGCTCCTGCTGAGTCATAATGACCAGCCTCCTGGACAGACAACCTGCCGAGGGGCCCACCCGTGCTGCCAGTTTCAGCGGTTGGTGGCCTCAGCGGTGACCTCAGCACAGGGCAGCTCTCCCTCCCATTATCACCCCCATCTGTCCCTTCTTTCCTTATAAAGCTGCCGACACCGCTGCCCCCCAAACATCTGAGACGGGAAACCTTGTAAATGCTTCCTCCCTTTGGGAGAAAGTAGAAAGGGAAATGGATCAGTCAACAGACCACGTTGAACACGTGGCTTGGCCGGTGTGCTCAGTGGTTGAGCACAGACCTATGAACCAGGAGGTCACGGTTCAATTCCCGGTCGGGACACATGCCCGGGTTGCAGGCTCCATTCCCAGTGTGGGGCGTGCAGGAGGCAGCTGATCAATGATTCTCTCTCATCATTGATGTTCCTATCTCTCTTTCCCTCTCCCTTCCCTTCCTCTCTGAAATCAATAAAAATATATTTTAAAAAAAGAAAGAATGTTCTTCCCACTGCCGAGAAGGTACAGGAAGGGCAGCAGACTGAGGTTCTGGAGGGGACACAGCCTTTGCAGTCAGACTCACGGGTCTGGGGCCAGCACTCAGCCCCTCTGAGCTTCTTCCTCATCCTTAAAATGTGATGGAGCACCCACACCAGCAGTCCTCGGAGGACTGACTGGGCCGGCCAGTGCGCGCCTGGCCTCAGGGAGACGCATAAGGAAGGTTCCTTTCTGGGCACCTACGAGGGGACGCCAGCATTCCTGGCCACTTCCCAGACTTTGGGCCACCTTCTCCTCCTGGGCTTCATTGTGTTTTCCAGCTGGAGTCTTCAGACCCGACACTCAGCCAGCAGAAGGACAGGTCCCGCACTTCTGAGCTGGAGACCCTCCCGGGCTGGGACACCCGCTGCCTCCCAGGCTCCATCAACCGGGAGGTGCAGAGAACCCGAGTCAGTGGCTGACCCCGGGGGTGTGGCAGGTGGGGGGACAAGACAGAGGTGACCCAGAGGCCAGACCCGAAATGGTCAGTAAAAGACACTATTGGAACAGAACAGAAACATGCTGAAAAGTCAGTGCCCTCTGGCGGATCTTTAAAGAACAAGCAGAAAGGGAAGAAGCAGATCAGCCAGAGGGACAGGAACACAGAAGGGCCACATCTGTGATGGCAGCAGCAATGAAAGGGGTTTTCACTCCAGAGCTGTGGCTTTTGGGGGTCCGGCTGGTTGTTACAAAGGAGGGCCTTCTGGGGGGCCAGTGGCTGCCCTCGGGCCGGAAGCATGCAGGCGAGTGGGGTACATGGAATCGTGCACGTTAGGAACAGCCAAGTCTACCCTACCAGGCCACATCGCAGGAAGCCGCCTCTGGCTATCAGATCCGTGTTAATTAAAATGATGGGCACTCTTGAGAGGAAATGCTCACCATGCCAGGCCCTTCCCATACATGTGTCCAACCAGCAGCCCTTGAGGAAGGTGTGACTAGTTCCAATTTTACAGAAGAGGAAGCTGAGGTGCAGGGCAGCCCCAGGAAAGGGCACAGCCAGCATTCAGCCCACTGGCCTCAAAGGCGGCTTCTAACCAGCTGTCTGGAGCCCACCCTGCTGCTCGCCCAGCTCTGCCCTCCTGGTGGGTTGCAACATGCAAAGACACCGTTTTCATTAAAAACTCTCCGGCAGAACACTGCTGGCATTTCACCGAACCCCACTTCTTTCCAGTGCTTTCCTACCTCCAGGTTGTCATGAGGAGCTGTGACCAGCCTTTTAAATTTCACGCAATAAAATAGAAACTACTAGAATGCACTGGCATTTAAAGACGCTATAATTTCACGGAACTCTGGTTTCAGGCGTGTCTGTAGCCCTGTCCTGGGTCAGGACGGAAATAAAAATGAATTCTTACTGTGGGGGGGTGGGGAGGTCAAAATATGCTCCCCAGCTTCCCAGTGCCTCCCCTCCACACTCCCAAATCCACGCAAACACCAGAGCCACAGCCCTGTAAAAGCTCAATTTAAATCACCAAGTTTTATCCAGAACTTAGGAGAAGAAGGCTTATTCCAACGGGACACCGTGGGCCGGGCTGGAGCCCATGCCTCCTGCAGGTGCGCAGAGAGGGCAGAGGGCAGGGTGCGGGCGCCGGTGGGAGCGTGAGCAAGCACACTCTCTCCTCACCCTTGTATTCCCGCCCTCAGAACGGAAGGATTTCAGACTATATCACCTCTAACTTCCTCAATTTAATTATTTGCGAACTACAAACTGATATTATGTGCTCAAGATCTTCATTGTTATCTTAAAACAATTTCATTACTGATTCCACCTGCTTTTTCTATGCCCTATTAAATGTCATCCCATAATAGACTCTGACTCATTTTGACCTGTTTGTTTCTTCCATGTTCTTATTTAATAATATGCTTCCTAGTCTTAAAGTTCTGATTTTCTCATCTTACGTTTAAAACTGGAATGGTTTGTGTGTGTTTTTTGGGGGGGTGGGGTGGGGAGGGAATATAATTTCTCAGCCAACTTCCTTCAGGAACATTTCTCGTTCAACTCTGTGCTCTCCTTTTCCTCACACACTCGCACAGCAATGCACGTTTCAGAGTTTACTGGCAGTGATGGCCGACTGGCCTCCCATCCATGCAGGGCTGGGAGAGTGTGTGTAGGGCGCTTCAGAAAGGACAGGCTGACGCGGTGCTGATCCCATCACCATAATAGGGCCCTTAATGGGGTCTGTGAGGGGAAGACTGGCACTGGTGGTGACCCGGGTCCCCAATGTTAATGTGGCTGCTGCTTTTCCCCCATAACACTCAGCATATCACCCGTTCACAGTCAGGGCTCGCAGCCTGGCTCTCCAGAGACATCCTATCAATACAAGGCATATGTTGCCAGCAAGAAAGTCTGAGGTCATTTGAAGGTCATTTGGCTTTGAGCACTTCCCTTGAGGTGGGTGTTGACTTAGTAAGCACCCATGGAATGCTGAGCAGTTTTCAGTTATTAAATTTTACTAAGCAGGCTTCTCACCACAAACCTGCCTGTCCTGGGACAGCTGGCTGACACCTGAGGCCCCACTCGGCTGGATCTTGTCTGCAAGTCCTTCCCAGTCCTGTTTTGTCTGCTGCGTTCAGCTGGCTTCCGTTCCAGAGGGAACTTTCCTTCCTGTCAAACTTCCTCTTTGTTAGGCGGGAACTGCCTCCCAGTAAGGAAACCAGCTATCTGGTTTCAGATGTCCTGCCTTTTTAAAGAAATGTCTTGGCTCCTTTTTTAAAAGGCCGCCCTCCTCTCTCCCTCCCCCAGCATCTGTGCAGCCCATCTTGGTGGGTGCAGCCCAGCTCTCTTATAAGCATCAGGGACAAGCCCCAGGGAGCTGTGATGGGCTTAGTAACAATGATGTTTTCACTCTCAATTTACGGGGACACTCTGTCTGTAGTTACTTTTGTGTTGGAAGCACCCAGTTCAAATGATGCCAAAAGTAGTGAGTTTGCTTCATTCGTTGTAACTCTGTAACAAATTACAATAGGGAGTAGAAATTATCTTTAGGGCTTACCTTTTTTTTTTTTGTAATTCTAAAATCCTTGGCTGTCACTGGCACTGTGTTGTATTTGTAAGGAGAAAAGCCAGTCCCTTTGGGTGGAGGAGGTATGTGACCTCACTCAGCATCCTCCTCCCCCCACCCCGCACCCCCCACCGGGGCTATGCTATTCACCTCCTGGGGACCAGAGATGGGCTGGACAAGTGGGGACAGAGTGAGACAAGGCAGGAGACAGTCACCAGAGCTGCCAGGGCTGCTGGCTGAGCCCTATCACGCCCCCAAACCATTTCTCTTTTGCCCTCGGTGGCTGTTTTCTGCAGAAAGTGTGATATCAGCCTCTGAATGGTTGGCCAGGCCGGGGCCCATGGGGCCCATGAGTTCCAACTGGGAGTGAGAAGCTGGAATATCTGGTGGATCCTCCCACTTTCTCAGCTTTTATTTCAGAACCTGAAGAACTGACAACGGTCATGAGCTGAGATGAATTTTAGACAGGATAAGGGAAAGATAATGTTTTTACACATGAAATCTACGCATAACAGACTGATTTGTTATTTGGGGAAGATGGGAGGTAAGGAATGACTTCCATTAGGATAAACAAATTCTCCTTTTGTCTTTCTCTAATGACCAAGGTGTGTGTGGGGGGCGGGGGTGGGTGTCTAAAACCCTAATCCAAGGATTTATGAAGGAGAAAGGGATTTGAAAGGAGAGGTTTATTGTAATAAAAGCTGAAAAACTGAAACTTCTAAACTGTCCCTAAAAATGCCTCATAGGATTTTAAATAAACTTAGCTTTTTAAAAAAGTTTACCCCAATGGGAATTTTACTCGCAAAAAAAAGACCAGAGAAATGTAGTGATTTGGGTTATTGCTTTTAGCAAAACTTGGCAGCATTTTATTGGTATTAAGTAAAGTTTACTCTTAACTCTGAATTCTTACCTGTGGTATTAGTTATGAACCACCTGCAACTGCCCGGTCAAAGAGACAGAAATAGAAAAATCAAAATTTTAAACATAATTATAATTGGTAGAATTAAATAGCCTTTGGCCAGGAAGGATAATATAACTTCTGAACATACACCCTGCTGTTTTTATGGTCCCTCCGGATGGCGGACACCAACAACTGGATGACTGGCTTAATGTCCAACCACGTGTACTCCACACCCAGCACCACACAGGAAGCGAGACACAGAAAAGCCCATGAGCTACAAAATAAGATGAACGGCTCCACTGGGAACCAAACGACCCAACCCCTAATCAATGCAGGGATTGACTAAAGATCATCTAAGGCTGTTTTCCGGTGTTTCCCTTTATTTCGTTTCCTATCCCACCCCACAACCCGCATGGCCTCCACTCCGCTGCCTTCAACTGGGGGTGCAGGAGGCATCCATTGCTTTCCTCCCCCAGACAGCACCTTCCCCAGGGGTGTGGGAGCAGAGGCTGCCCAATTTCTTTCTGTCCTCAGGGTGAAAGCCTTTTCCAGGAAAAGGCAAAGAGAAGGAAGAGGAACTGTGTTAAGAGGGCCTCAGCTTAGCACGTATATGACAATAGGCTCAGTTGAACAGATTATGACCCAGGTAACAACCTCCAAGACAGCCTGCCAGCGCCACAGAACCAGCTGGAAGAGACGCCCCCCCCCCCATCCCCGCCCCGAGAATGAATGTCAGGCTCGGCTTCCTCTGCTCGTGCAGTCCAGGCTCCTCCTGGCTACGCCCATGGCCTGCTCCTGAAGAGACAAGTTGACCTGAGACCCAGGCCCAGATACTCTCCATCTCAGAGGGAGGATGTCTGTGGACTCTGAGATGCATAGGGTCGTCCTCCCGGCCGCACCAGGTCGGACAACAGGAGGCAGTGCAGGCCTGGGAGGCAGCAGCCCCTGGAACGCTGCCTTTCAGTGGGCCAGGCACCTCGCCAACCGCCAGGGGACTGTCATTTTACCCAGAAGCTCGGGTCCTACCCAGTCTTTACATCAGCATTTGCCTCCTGCAGAGTGGCTGGTCCGGGGAGGCGTCTCTCGGAATCGATCTGGCTCTGGGCTCTCCCGGTGGGGTTGGGGGACCCAGGGAGGTGCCGCAAGCCGGAGGAGGAAACCTTAAAAATATGCTTCCTTCCCTGGGAGGGAGGCCTAAGTGTCTGCGCGCCCGCCCGGAAGCCCAAGGGCCAAGGTCCCCAGCTGCCGCTCTAGGGCGGTCCCCTCCGGATTTCTTCCAGGAAGAAAAATAAAACAAAACGAACCCAGACTCCACGTGGGTCTGCCCTCCCCCGGGAAGGGTTCTGGGTTCAGAAGCCCCCGAGGGAGGCACGCGCTGCGGCTCTAAATCAGGAGGAGCCCCCGGGAAGCGCAGCAAGGAGCACACCCGGCCACACCCGGCCCCCGAAGGGACTTTCTCCCCAGAGCAGCTTCTCTTATTGTTCCCTCCAGCGCCAGACACGGAAAGGCGGGCGTATTCCGCCGCCTTGGCCCCCAACGCGGACGGTCTAACCGGGACCTGGACCGGGACACAGCTCCGCACGCGGTCCCTGCGGCGCCGGCCCCTTCCTGGCACTTTCTCTGAAAGCGCTTTGAGAAGAAGGGAGGAGGACGGGGGCTCCACCGGAGGTGCAAGAGGCAGCCTCCCACGGCAAGAAGCATCAGCAAAATCGCCTGAGTGGTTCAACCACAGGTCAACGGCAGCGTTTCCCCAGCAGCTGACAGGTCAAATGGCCAGGAAACAACTGCGGAGAACAAAGCCCCCCGCTGTTCACCGGGGCCAGCCCGGCCCGTCGCCGCTGGGCAGTTCTGTGCAGCCTTTCGGACAGGGCGGTGGGGAGAGGTTTCCGCCCTCCTCCCCCCGCCGTCTCCCTTCCTCCCGGGTGAGCCGGTCGGGAGAGGAAGGGAAAGGAGGGAGGAGGCGAGCGGCGCCGGCAGGAGGAACCGAGCGGCTCTTTGAAGGCTGGAGTCTGAACCGCCTCCCGGCTTCGGCAGCGAGGACCGGACGGGGCGAAAGAATGCGCGGAATGCGGCGGCCGGAGGCAGGGGCGCAGGGGCGCATCGCGGCCAGGGCGCCCTCGCTCCCCGCGTCCTGCGGCTCCTCCCGCGCGAGGGCCAACAGAGACAGCGGCCCGGGCGGGTCCGCAGGTGCGGCCAGCGCACCTTCCCTCCAGCTGCTTGGACGGCATGAAGTCGGCAACCGGCTTCCAGCTTTGACAAGACTCTCCTCCCCGAAGAGTTGCACTAGGGCTCTCGTACATCAAGCCTTCCATCTGATCCTCCAGAATCGCGCCTGAACAAAAGGTCGTACTACTCCGCTGCCTGAATATTAGGGAGGCACTGTCCCGCCTGGCGTTCCCCAAACACTCACTCACTCCTCCCGCCTCCCGCGCCGGCGGGGCCTGGGTCTAGCTCGGCACCGGAGGAGTGGACCACCTTCCGGAGGTCCTCGGAGTTGGGCGGCAGCAGGGGGGTGGGGGGGGGGGGGATACAGATCGCTCCACGCAACGTCCGCAACCCGACCTTCCTGGTGCATTTCCGAGGGGCAGGTGTACCATCGAACTGGCGCTCCCCGTCCTTCACCCGTTCCCCGCCTCTTGGCTTCTCGGGGTCGGACCTCGGCACAGGGCCTCGGCGCGCCAAACTAACAGGCCTAACCTGTCCCCACCCGCACAGTGACACTTAGGAGCGCTTCCCGGCAAGGTGAGCAACGCGGAAGAGGCGCCTCGCCCGCGAGGCCAGACCGTTAGTGAGTGTAAACAAACGCAGACCTGCCAGGAAGGGTGCAGCATGGCAGGTGACGCGGGAAACGCGCGCTCACCGTCCCGAGGACTTCAGGAGCTCGCACTGCACACGAGCGCCCCAAACCCGGGCAGACCCGTGCACGCCGACGCGCACAAAGGAGTTCGCGGGGATCCCCGCCGCCACGAGTCCCCCCGGCACTTCCTCCCCTGGCCACTCAGCCCCGATACACCGCCCTGGGAGCTCGCACCCCGGCGCCCGCGTTTACCTTTGAGCAGGCAGATGTCGGTGCGCTCGGCGTTTCGGCGCAGCGCCTGCACGACCAGCGACACCGTGCTGTCCTCGCGGAGGCTCTCGGCGCGCGGGCTGCGCTCGTCGTAGACGATGACTGCCGAATAGAGGCCGGATCGCAGGCGGGAGCGCACCTCCTCCTCGGCGGGCAGGATCTGCTCCAGGCTCACGGAGCCTTTGGCCCGCCGACGCACGATGGTGTTGCAGCGCACGTTGACCGAGCCTCGGATGTAGCCCGCGCTGTGCGCCAGGAACGGTCTGCAGTCCAGCAGCAGGCACTTGCCGCCGCTCAGCAGCCCCAGGGCGCCGCCGCCGTTCTCGTCCCGGTTCATCAGCCTTTTGAGCACGCTGCAGTCCATCTCCCGCAGCTCCTCCACCGTCACCATGGTGGCTGGGAACCGGGGCTGCTGGCACACGAGGCGGCGAACAACAGCTGGGCGGCTGGAAGGGGCGGGCGAGGGCTAACGGAGGGCGCGTGCAAAAGTGGCCAGAAACTTGGCCCTCAGGGACTCGCACAGGAGACCGTCTGGTCCCCGGTAGCCTTCCTTCCGCATTCTCACAGCACAGAACAGTCCGAGCGGCCTCGGGCACCCGGCAGCACCGCGCGGTGCGAGGGGGAGGCGACGGTGAACGGGGCTGTGTTTACGCGAGTGGGCGAGGGCTCCCTTCTGTCGTGGCCTCTTTGTATTTTGCCCGCTGTGTTGCTCCTGCCGCCGCCGGCGCCGCCGCTCGGCCGCCGCACCCCAAGGAGCAGCCGGAGCTCGGCGCACTGCCCCAGCCAGAGTTTCCTCCTCGGCTTAGAGATTTATTAAGGCTCCTCTGCTCTCCCCCGGGAGAGGGCAGCTTCAGTACTACCTGGCGAAGCCCCGCCCCTTTCCATTCGGGGCCTCCCGCCTCCCGCCCCCAGCTCGGGCTCCCCGCCCCATCCCCGCCCCCTGCGCCCGCCGGCCTCTCCTCCCGCCCCCTCCCTGGCGGGTGAATGGAGTGCCGGCCGCTCGCGCTCAGTCACGAGGCCGTGACGTCACAAAGAGCGGAGTAAACAGGCCGCTGGGCGCTAGTCGCCCGGCCCATTCATAAAACCCGGACCTAGAGGAAGAGGGAGGAGGCCCCCGACCCGCAGGCAAGCTGCGCGCAGGGACTTTGTGAATGGAGCGCGGCTGCGCCTCTCGTCGTCAGCCTGCGGGCGCGAGCCTCCGCCATCCGCGATCTACCCAACGCGAGCGGCTGTGCTGGCACTGCACCCGGGCTGCAGCATTGGCAACAAGAAAGTAGCCGGCTGAGAGCCCGGCCTAACGGAGGCGAGGGATCGGGTTTGATCCTTTTTACCTCCTTGCTCCTCCCCCTGCCCCCCTCCCAGCCTCGCTAGTCTCCTTCCCCGCATCCAAGCAGAGTGGGGACCGTGATGCCGCCGTCCACCCGACAGGGCCTGGAACCTCCTCGCCCCGCATTTACCGAGTGCGTTGGGCCCGGCTAGCCGTTTTTTTCAAGTGCGATTCCTCTGACGTTAGCTTATGCATTAGCGTGATCGATTTTCATCTTGAGCCATTAAATCAGCTTTATAGCTTCCCGAGGACGTGGGCAAACCCCAACTTAGAAGATGAAAGGAAAAGCCCTCCCGCCCCGAAGTCCAGTAATGGGAGCGGGGTGTTGGGGCAGTTGCTTTACGACCCAGAGGGAGGCATTCATTGCCGGAACGTTGCTCCTCTGGAGGAAGGCAGGGTGCCACTCCCGTCCACGCTTCCTAAAGATGTTTGTTTAACCCTAGTAGACAAAAAAAAAAGAAAAAAAATCCGATATTTATGTATTCATTTATTTATTTATTTATGTGACTTTTGGAAAAGTCTTCACCCCATATCGCACATGTGCAAATTGTCTTCTCAGGAAATAACAATGAGGGCCCACATCTGGTTCGAAGCTAGACCCTGAGAAATTTACCGTCAAGGGTTTAATAAGCTCTGGGGCAGACGCAGGTCTCTGCGTCCCCTTTCCGGGTCAGGTAGCATTTTTTCCCGCTGCCCTCCCTCCCCCTCCCCCGTTTTTTACTTATGCATTTAATTTCCCAGAAGCCGCTTTTGTCAGGGGGCTTGTGTGCGTGCGATGCGGACACAACAAAAGCCAAAAATTATTCGCCCGACATCTTGCCAAGTCTTGTTAGTGAGAATTAACCAGCGAGCGGGAACCCTGCAGGACTCGCTGGCGGCGCGGAGCCTTACACTCCAGGTCCAAGTGGAAGCCCGACCCCGGCATCGAAGGACGGCACCCTTCCCGTTTCTCCCACCCCCGACTGGCCTTCCGCCCCGCCTTTGTTCCCCTCCTGATCTCTCACCTCCGGCCCCCGGGGCCACCCCGCCACTCCCCTACCCGGCTCTCAGGGGGCCTCCACTTCCGACGCCTGTGGCCCGCGCTCCTCTCCCCCTGCGCCGCGAATCTCCCGACACCCCGGGAATCTTCCCTTGACCTATGGCTACAAACTGGCTCAGCAGGGCACTGCACTGAATCCTGTCTCTATTTAGAATTTAGTATTTTGTTCAACATACTTTTTGGGCATTAATTTTAATCGCTTCAGAAAGCATTGCATTAGGATACGTATTTTGACCACTGACTTTTTGGTGCCCTTAACTTCTGCGCCCGAGGCGCGTCGCTCACGCCGGGCACTGTGTGAGGTGAGCGGTCCAAGGCTCTCCGGGCTTGGCCTCTCGGGGATGGAGGGGGTCGTACTCCCTCCCGAGGACAAAGGGGGCCCCACTGTCGGTCTCTCTTAGACCGCGGTGGCTGCGAGGCTCCGTCTAAAAGCCTCGCTCTACCTGGTACCCCGGGAGCGCGCCTCTCTACGGCGTCCCCCTGCCCCGACCATCCAGGGATCCTCTGGCCCCGGCCGGGCCCTTTCCCGGCGCAAGGGAACACCGACGCCTTCCCGCGGGCTGGACAGAACGTCTGGTGCCAGAGCCGCTCAGTCGCAGGCAGGTCAGGCCAATCTCGCACGTGTCGCCGGAGCTGGGGGGACGTCCCCGGGCCGCACTGGCCGCGCGCTTCCAGCCTTTGTCTCCCCTGCGCTGGGGTGGCCTCCCCGCCAGACCGGCCCCCGCTCAGACCTCACGTGGCAAGTAAATAAGTCAAATCCCGGGGGGTGGGGGGCAGGATGCTCACGGAACAAAGGCTTGCTTTCTGCACCTGACAGTAATCCGCGGTGGCGAAACCTGTAAATCCCGCGGGAGATTCGCAGGGAAGGGGGTGTGGGCGGGCGCGTGCGAGTGATTGTGTGTCCACGTGTGCGTGCCCGCGCCTGCACGCCCGCGCCCGGGGGCGGGGGGGACGGGGGAGGGGGGATCAGCTTCGGACTGAAAGGATTTAAGCCTAGAGTCCCTGTAATAAGGACGCGAATGCCTGATTTTGGAAAGAGACTACTTAAAAAAAAACAAAACAAAAAAACAAACCCTCTCTCCTCAACTCAGGAATTTGCTGTCAGTTGTGTGCGTTTCAGTAAATGCGTTTATCCGGATCCTTTTTAAGCACCCTGGATCATTTTTTTTTTTAATTTTTGGTATTGTAAATATGTGGGCCTTTGGGAACACAGTTAAATGAATACAATGTGGGGACTGCTCTATACCTACCGAACACAGAGAGGATAAAACGTCTCAATTAGTATGCAGGCTGGGGGTGGGGCGCTTAATCGGTGGACACAGGAACTTGTGAAACAGCTTGACAATAAGATCTTGGAGAAAACAAAGGCATTTGGAAGGAAAACATTGTTTGAATGTCATTTCAAAGTTAATTTAATTAACGAAGGCATATCTGCTGGAGTTGGAATGGGATTGCCCAAGGAGAGAGATTTTATTTATATTTAGCAATAAACCTCCGGGTGGAAAATGCTTTAGAAATTTACTGTGACATGTGAATCCAACTTCTTTTTCATCAGACAGTCGGTCCTTGGAGCACCTGATGAGTCACTGTCAGGCCTGGTGAAACCTATGTTCTTGTTTAAGAACATTTCTTACCAATTAGGAAGTTGTGTGATTTGGGAATTTAAAGCCCAGAGGATGCTCCCCAGAGAGGACTATGGCTTCTATTCTGGTTTTAATGCCAACCTCTGACTCACTGCCCTGTCCCAAAGTGCCTGAATGAAACTTGCCTGAAAAATCATTATTGAATTAATGAAGGTGACAAAGGTAAGAGCGGTCCTGTGGGTTCTTCATGTCTGGTCTGTTGCCAACACGGTGTGATCTGAGCCGGAGAGCCCCCTGTCAACCCCAAGCCAAGCTTCAGCAGCCTTCCCCCCTCCCTCCCCCAGGCCAGGCGCGCTCAAATGCCACAACACAAAGCACAGGCTCAAACTCCTCTCTCTTTCTGTCCCGCCTGTGCTCACGGAGAGCAAAGTTGGTGGGTTTTATTTATCTGTTTAGTCAAGCAAGCGGTAACGTCCCACGCCAGTTCTTCAGCTTTTCAAAATCAGATTTTGGAAACAAATGCTTTTCCAAATAGAAGATAAAAATGGACCCAGCAGTTTTGTTGTTGTTAATCACTCTAGCTGTGGATACTTTCCTGGTTATCCAACAAACATGTTAAATTCAATGGGGGGAAGAAATTTGTCTATGCCTTCAAATAGTTTATAATCTAGTTGGTCTGGTCAGGGTGTGATTGTCACGGTAGGTTATGGGAGGCAGGATCTAATAAATGTCCTTGGGGAAGAACAAACAAAATGTGAGGGGAATTCAGTCAAGAAAGGAATTGAACCATGTTGTGGGATTAGGAAAATGAAAGAAAAATTCCATTGTGCATAAAATACATCTCATCTACTTACATGTTATCCTGGATTTTTTTTAGGGTACTATTTTTTTTTAACTTTTATCCCACCTCTGATATTCATTCTGCCCTTGTGCCTTATATCTTTTCCTTTCATTTGTTAGCTTCTTTCTTCCCCAGTGGTTTTGCCTGCTAAAAATAGATGAACAATTGGTCTGAAGCTGCAAGGGAGCCAAGATGATGCAAAGGCTGTAGAAAATCTATGCCATGGACCATGAGCTGTGAGCTGACCTAGATGCAAGATGACCTAGGTGTGGGCCCAATTCTATAACTTTCATTGTCTCCTTAAGCAGGTCAACTGTTCTATACCTTAATTTTACCATTTGTCAAGCTAGAGAAAAAAAAATAATGTAATTATTTTGTTTTTTTCAGGACAACAAAATGTCTAAATCATTGTTCCAAGGACACGGCAATAAACATATTTTCCAAATGTGTTGGAGTATGAGGTCAGAAAAGAATTTTGGACTTGTGAACTTATTAAATAAAAATTCTCATTGAGAAGTAAACATTAAATCACATTGTGCATGCATATTCCGAAACTGTTATTGAAAGCAATGAAACAACCCAAAATTAAGATGATCAAAGAAAATCTTGGGCTTTGGGCATTATTTCTTCATTGATGAAACCGTAAAACAAATGTATAGGAAGCCCCTGTGGTGCTGCCCGCCTGCTACCCCAGCCCCAGGTCATCATTATCCACTGTTGTCTACTCCTGCACACAGTCCTTCCTGCCTAACAAGTGTGAGGAGAGTATGACCTGAGCCTTTCAGATGTTTCAGCTGTTCTTCACCTCCACATCTTAGCCTCAGTGAGCTCTTCTTGTGTGATGGTTGGTTAATTCTCATCATAACTGTAGGGAAGGAAAATAATCTTTCTCTATCCCCTTAGGTTTGTACCTGGGACCTGCAAATTAAATTCACAAAGACAAGTTAACAGGAGGAAAAACAAACAATATTAATTGACGTTAATTTTTTTTTTTTACAGGTGCACAGGGACTTCACAGAAAAGAAATGAAAACCCAAAGAAGTAGTTAGACCCGGGGGCTTACATGCCATTTTAACAAAGGACAATAAATTGTCAAGAAGTGACTAGACAAGAGAAAGGGGCTTTGGGCTTCTTGGAGCTGATAAATTATGGGAAGGTGAGTAGGAAATAAATGGGGAAAACTAATGGTAGATAAGGGCTATTTAGTAAGGTTATTTGTGCAGACTCATCTTGGTGCCATCACTGCCTCTGGTGATAAAGGTTGTTCTCTTCCTGGTGGTGCAGAGGGAGACACCTGCACACGGGCAGTTACGGCCTGCTTTTAGGCAGATGGAAAGGGTAACGGAGAGCTCTTTTTATGTCTGCTTTTTCCAATTGCCTTTAGTTCAAAATAACCCGTATGCCAGAATGGCATATTCTGATCCTCGTTACAGCCATATCACAGCTTGACCAGGTGGTCGGCAGTGCAAAAAGAGGTGTCAGAATTTCAACTAGAACTTTGCTTGAATAAGGAGCAGGTCCCATTCCACCAACAGTGGCTCTAGAAACTAGTCCTTTAGAAACCCGAGAGTCCTTACTTCTGGATGTTCTGGTAGACAGAAGGAAGGGGCCCAGAACCAACAACTCCTAAATAGTCATCTCTAACTATTTTAGCAAAAACCCCAAGGCCTTTGACACCGCGTGAGACTGATCAATTCACTTCAGTTGAAGAATGGTTTTCTAAAGTCAGGATCTGAACAGCCTCTCCCAGCTGGATGGAATACTCAGATTACCAGCGTCAGAAGGAACAGGAATTAGCATAACAATCCACACGATTTATTCTCGGAGGGGAATACCTAGGGTCCTCTTTAAGCAGTGGTTAATTACATCCTGCTATTTATCCCATGTATTAGGGCTTAACTAATTAGCACCCCGCCAACTCTATTTTTAATCTATTTCTCTCCCCACCCCACCCCAACCCTAATTCCCAGTGCCCTGTGTCCTTTATGCCACAGTCTTGAACCTCCCCGCCAAGTAACTAGGTGACGAGGTCTGTCCTCTAGGCCACCAACGCCCTTTTTTTCAGGGCCCCTTTGGATGCCACCCTGAGTCTGAGCCGCGTCCTCTCCAGACCTGGGTGTCATTTGGTGCAATGAAAACGGACACATGCTTTGGGGCTGACGAATGTGGTTTTCAATGTGGGCTCTGCCATCTAGCAGCTGGGAACTCTGGGTAAGTTCTGACCTTCACTTTCCATATCTTTTCAATGGGAATGTTACTAACACCTAGACCAGTGCCCGGCAAACTCATTAGTCAACAGAGCCAAATATCAACAGTGCAACAATTGAAATTTCTTTTGAGAGCCAAATTTTTTAAACTTAAACTATATAGGTAGGTACATTGTTATGAACTTAATTAGGGTACTCCTAAGCTGGCCTTTGCTAAAAACGTCCTCGATCTGATTGAGGTATATTCGCTGAGGTCGACCCCTTCCAACTCTCCCATCCACACTCGTCTTGTATACTTGTATAATTCACATTATAACCCCTGTTCGTATTACCTGCCTAGCAACACTGTAAGATCTGCTCTTGGATCTTGACAAAACTTCTAGTCCTCAGGCCAGAGTCGAGCACAGAAAGCTTGGAATGGAGATCTGTTAATTTATTGATTGTTCTGACTGTGCTCAGAAGAAACACCACAAGCCCTCCCATCTCTCCACCCTGCACTCCCCAGCCTCTGTTCCATCTGTGCTCTTCACGTTGTTGCAAACACTACCTGCTCTACCACACTACCACTGCTGCCGGCTCCTCTGGCCACCGTTTCCTGCTCCTTTTATGTGGTTTTGATGTTTGCTGCTGGTACCCAGGGCTGCAGCTCACTTCTTTAGAAAGACCCATCCAGAGCCTCAGCCTCTGACTAGTCTGCCCCCCACCCCCACAACTGCCCCGAGGCGTCCTCTGCTCCGTGCACAGTCCAGGAGCACCAGGCGCTTTCCAGCCCTGTCCCAAACCCGCAGATCTCATCTTCTCATGTTCTTTGCGGGGAACTTCTGACCAAACTAACTGCTTCCGCCCAACTGAAACTCACAAGGGCGGTCACACTGAAAGGCGCTGATGTGTCTAGATGACTATTCAGAACAGAACCCAAGCGAAAGGGTACACTTCCTGGCCTGAGGCATAAACACCGCATATATTTTTCCCTTTCGGAGGGCTATTTTTCACGCTTGAAATGAAGTGTGGTCAGAATGTATTCTCATCTAGAATCTTAGGTCAGTCAGGCAGAGGTTTGTCCTTCTCGTGTTTTATACATGTGCATAAAAATAGAATAAACAAAGCCTGCTGTTCAATACATATTTTACACATATGTCAGAGATGCAATTCTAGAGCAGACTGCTTTGGGGGTGTTTGTGGTTGGTTTAAGGGTCATGAAAAACACAGAAGAAATCCTTTCTAAAAATGATCAGGATTTCCACTTGGAAGTTATCAAGTTTGAAGAATAATAAACCACAGAATGCTAAAAATGTAGGGTGTTTTTTTTTTTCGGTCTTATTTATGAGGGCTCCTGTTTTTGTGCCTTCTTTCCAATGGACAGAAGAATTAAGAAAAATGTTGGAGACGGGTTAAACCTCCCCTGTGGGACAGCTCTGGTAAAGGCCCTTTCCTGAATGGGATTCCCCAAGGCCTTGAACTGCAGAGATGTGGGGTGTGTGTGTGTGTATGTGTGTGTGTGTTACATACATAAATGCATGTACACATATACATGCATACACATACACATACATCTGTGTATTACATTTATACACAGCCATATCACAGCTTGACCAGGTGGTCGGCAGTGCAAAAAGAGGTGTCAGAATTTCGACTAGAACTTTGCTTGAATGAGGAGCAGGTCCCATTCCACCAACAGTGGCTATAAACTAATCCTTTAGAAACCCGAGAGTCCCTACTTCTGGATGTTCTGATAGAAGGAAGGGGCCCAGAACCAACAATTCCTAAATAGTCATCTCTAACTATTTTAGCAAAAACCCCAAGGCCTTGTTCTTGAAACATCTATTTCCACCCTCCCCCTCTATACTTGGGCTCATTTTTGTAAACCCACTTTATTCCTCTCCCAGCCCTTGCAATTCAAAGGGGCTTTCTCTCCCTCCCCCACACTCTCTTTGGTTGAAGTGTTAACTCATCTTCACTTGTGACAGGATGTATTCAAATTAAATGTTCAAAAAATTCAGAGACTGATTTTCTTCCACCTCCAGTCTGGGTTTTCTTGCTGTCAATGCATCATCAGTTACTTATCAGTTTGGAAGGGCGGCAGCAGTGATGATTGACAGGCGGGAATGGGGAGGACCAGGGAGCGCCTGGGAGTGAGGCATCTTTCGTTTCCCTGTGATCATTACAGAAGAAAAGCAGTTGCTCAAATTAGGTCACAGGGGAAGTGCCTGGCCCCCCACCCAGCCAGTGCCTGAAGGTCAGCTGTGCCTGCAGTCAGGGAGGTCAGCATCTGTCCACCTGACACCCTCCTGCACTCTTACAGGTCCTGCTTTGAGAGGAGGCGGAGGTGGTGTTTGCCGTGATCATCACAACGGAAAGATAGTTGACAAAGGCATATGTCATGTGCTGAGTTTTGTAGCCAAAGTATACGGTTAGTTAAGGGGTTCTGTGGACACCAGCAATTGCTCAGCCTCCCTGCCAGCCTCCTGGATGGGGCTCCACTCTGAAGATAACTCAGTGTGAAATTCCTGCAGAAGGTCTAGAAAACAAAGGCCGCTTAGTGAATGGGGACTGGTCTTAGTTTGCTCAGGCTGCCATGGCAAAGGATCATAGACTGAGTGGATGAAACAACAGAAATGTCTTGTCTCACAGTTCTGGAGGTGAGAGTCTGAGATCAAGGGGTTGGCAAGAGTGCTTTCTCCTGAGGCCTCTCTCCTTGGTTTGTAGATTGTGGCCTTCTCTCTGTGTCCTCAATGCCCTTCTTCTCTTCTGTGTCCTAATTTCCTCAGGGCACCAGTCATATTGGATTAGGGCCCACCCTAAAGTCTTAATTTTAACTTAACTACTTCTTTAAAGACCATGGCTTTGCATCATATTCTGCATATTCTGAGGAACGGGTGAGTTAGAATTTTAAGATATGAATTTTGGTGACATACCAGAACTTTCCCCAGAAAGAGACCTGAACCCCTCACCATTGTTCTTCCTGACATCCTATCCTCAGGGGCTAGTTTCGGGGAATGGACAGAGCTTAGGTTCTGGAGTCAGCCAGAGCTAGATTTGGACCCTAGCTTGACCCTTTCTAGCAGTGTGACCATAGGTGGGTTTCTAATTTCCCTGGCTGTGAAACAAAGATGAAATGCACACACCTCAGGGCAAGCCCGAGGATTCAGTGAGATGACATGAAAGAGCCTGGCGTGGTACCTGACTCAATACTCAGCTCCCCTGCCTTGTCTCTTGACTCATTCACTTCTCTTAAGTCCCCAAGGACATGCCCATCCAGAGATGAGACAGATGCATTGATGGGTCAATCCCTTATGCCCACCTCATGACATCTCGGAACCTCCAGGACAGGATCTTGGTCTCCTGGAGCCCTTCCTGGTCCCCTCATGCACAGCTGGGCCTGCTTTGTACTCCTGGACCCTCCCCACAGCAGCTCCTTCCCCTGCTGGGCTGAGGGTGGGGGAGGCCTAGGGAGCCTCCTCTCTAAGGGCATTACCCTAACAATCAGGGGAGGGACAGGGGATTGGGACCAAGGCAGAAGCCCCTTGCACTAGATGTTAGCTTCCAGTGATGAGCGGTTTCCCAGGCTTGGGATGACTGATGGCTTGTCAGGAGAGTCAGAAGCAATTGCTAAGAGCAGTTGCGGAGAGCGAAGAAGGGGAAGAAGACGGGAGAGTGCCAGATTCGCTGGGAGAGCTTGGCTCTCCTTGCTCTAGATGGCAGTGTGTGGAGGACGTCCCTGAGGACAGGGATGGAGTTTCTCAATCAGAGGATTGTTACAGGGCTGGCGGAGTCAGTGCCTTCCAAGGGCCACCCCCACGTCTCTCCCACGCTCACCATCCACTGAGGTCGGGGCTCTGGTGGGAAGTGCCCTCTGGCAGATGAATGAAGAGAAAGAAGAGGTCAGTCATGTGAAGGGCTTTGCATGGAGGCAGCTGGCCCTTGGGTGCCTTTTCCCTGCCCTCTCACTGGTAGTTCCCATCTTCTCTGAAAGGAGATGAGGTTACAGAAAAGCCAGCCTGTTTTGCTTGGCAGGGGAAGCTGTGTTAGACTTATTTGGGTATCGTGGACTCAGAAGCACCCCCTTTCTTCCCAATGCAACAGAAAACAACACAGGTTAAATAAGTGCTGCCCATCCCATAGCTGAGTGTCTGCCAGAAGCTTTGCTGAGGAGGGGGAAAGAAAGATTGAGTAAAAAGAGGGCTTCCCAGCCTCCCCTAGCATATCCGTTAAGACACACATGTCTCTGAGCCCCACTGTCCCTCCACCAATCCTGGCTTTGTGACTGGCTCCCTTCCCTACCAGCTGGCAGGCCCTAAAGACTGTTTGGTAGCCTCACCTTGGGTCTGGCCTCTCACCATGATTTCAGCTCCAAACCTCTCCTGGGCCTGGGCTCTTGCTGGCTGAATCTTGTTTCCCTTGGCTGGGTCTGTTGGTAGGGCTAGATCCTGCTCACTGAACCCCCACCTCCTAGATGGAAGGTTGTTCCACCTGCTGGCCCTAAAGACCTTGAACTCCCAGAGTGACCACCTCTGCATGTCAGTGCGGGCTTGGGGCGGGGGGGTGGTGGTGTTGGAGCAGCTACATTATCCACTGACAACTGGAATTTGCACTTTCCTGCCTTTCCCTCCACCTCCACCCATTGGCCAGCCAAACCACAATGACAAGCTGGTGGCCTCCTGGCTGAGCCCCCAAGTCTTAGGATCTGGGAGAGTGTCAACACAGGAGATACACACAGCAGTGGGCGTTAGACTGACCATGGCCTCACCTAGAGCTGTCTGTGACTTCTCGTGCCCTCTTCTTTGACCGCCTCCCTGACAGCCTGCTCTAGTCTTTCTGCCTTTACTACCTCTCACCTGGATATTACACCAGCCTCTTCTTGCTATACGCTGCTGCTGGATCGATCGTCTTAATGGATCGATCGTCTTAAACACAGCTGGGCATATTTTCTGATTACAAATGTTTGATGACTCTATTGGCGGCCACATTCAAGGGCTCCACAGTGGAACCTCTACCTCCTCCCCCAACATCTCTGACCCTTCGTCTGCAATCACCCTTTGGCCTGTGTCTTCCCCAGATCAGCTCTCTCTTTTCTTTCCTGAGTGCTTCCGCTCACACTGTTCTCTCTGCCCCAAATGCCCTGCTCCTGGGTCTCCAGAGACAGTCTGAGAAAGATCCCGCCAAGCTTTGAGTGTGCACATGTGAATGTGCCCTCTGTGCAATCCCCACCCAGCTCACTCCCAGCAGGCCCTTAGGCAACCCATCCTGGATCTGCTTGAGAATTGCCCCATGTCCGAGTGATGCAAAACCAGAATAATAACCCATCTCAAGGGAGACTTCAAACTTCACTTTTGAATCAGTTGGAAATTTAGACAAAACTTTTCCACATTAGCTCTGTCCCTTTCACTTTCAGTTCACGGAGACTCACTGACCTTTCTTAAACGATGCGATTCTCCTTCCCTGGCAAGCAATAAATTCATGTCTATGCATTTAGACTACACTGGATCTCCTTGTTCCATGGCACAATCAAATTCATGTTTCCTTGATTTTCCGGCCCAAAATAATCCTCTTCCTTTTGAACTCTGTCATCATTTTGTCTATTCTCTCAAAGTACTCCCTTATCTTTTTTTATTCATTTATTAAACAGACATCCAGGCATTGTTATTATACCAAGCACTGTTATTTACACTGGGTTATGGTCATGAACAAAACAGACAAGAAAAGATGAAAAACCTTGCCCTCATGGAGTTTACATCATCTGCAGGTAGAGACAGACAACAAACACAAAAAAAGTAACATATATAGCATGTTAGATGTTGAGTATAGGTCATGGACAAAAATAACACAGGGATAGAGAGAGATACAGAGCCTGGGAGGATGGTAAACATTTAAAATAAGACCATTTAAAATTTGACCCACGCTGGTTTGGATATGCTTGATTCTTAAGACCTTTTGGGTAAATAATGGAAGCTACTAAGTTTGAGGTAGTGAGGGTTGCCACTCCCGCATAATGTCACTATCAGGGAATAATCAAAGCACATCTCAAACCAGATTCTCTTATGAGGTTTATTAACCAAACTAGAGGCCCGGTGCACGAATTCGTGCACAGGTAAGGTCCGGCCAGCCTGCCCCAATAGGAGTGGGGGAGGGGGGGCGATTGGGGCGGGGCCAGGGGGAGGGGCTGCAGGCAGTTGGCAGGCTGGTCGAACTCCCAGTCAAGGGGACAATTTGTATATTAGCCTTTTATTATGTAGGATAATTGTTATTGAAGCAGGTCCCAAATTGTTCATGTAACCTATTCTGAATCCCCATGGACCTGTCCACATTTCTGAGGTTCTGTGCCTCCATGTTGGAACCATGCACCACAAATCCTTTCAAATCAACATCTGCTTATGGGACAAGTCTCTCCTGATGGACGCAGGGCCAGGTTACAAGCCTTCTGAACAAGACTTCCTTCCTACATTCTATCTGTCCCTTTCACATTCAGTGCTTCGTACACCCCATTTACATATAGTAAGAGCAGGGAATGGCCCGAAGTCTCTAAATGATAATAGCCAACTACTGGCGGCCATTCACATAAATCATTTTTTAATTTTACCAAAGAAAGCCAATTCTTCATTCTGGGTACACTACTTAACATGTTTCTAGTTTCACCAATAAAGACCTATTTTTTAGTTTAGTGTGCTAATTGAAGTGTTGAGTGTTGCTTGAGATGTGGATGGATAACAGAAGCTCCCAGAATAGCAGTTTCAGAGTACGGCTCTTCTGGTAGGGGCCAGCCGAGCACTCTTGGTGGCAGATCATCTCTAGAATTAAAACTCAAATGAGCTGGCACATGCTGACCATACTGAAGTATTTTAAAGTAAATTACTAATATCATAACAGGTGTTGAGGGAAGACCTCACAGGAAGAATGACCTATTGGAAGGCTTGAGGGTGGTGGAGGGGTGAGCCATGGATCCTTTGGGAAGCATTGCAGGCTGAAAGAAGAGTAAGTGAACATCCCTGTGGC